CAGAAGCACTTTATTAGAACTAAGATTGCTGCACACTGCACACTTACCCTATAATCCTTATATACTACCTGTCACATCAGCACTTTTAATTCTGTACCCATTACTCTGGCCCGGCCCAGTTTTATTGTGTCTTGGTGTATTGTTTATTGCTTGTTGTTTAATATTGCTTTAATTGTTTTTAATTTGCTTAGGTTTTGTATTGTTATGTTGTGTTTTGAGGCCTTGGCCTTTGTAAGCCGCATCGAGTCCTTCGGGAGATGCTAGCGGGGTACAAATAAAGATAATAATAATAATAATAATAATAATAATAATAATAATAATAACAACAACTAGCTGTCCCCTGCCACGCGTTGCTGTGGCCCATCTGGAAAATAAAGTAATGAGAAAGTGTTGGTTTCTAATCTATGTAATGTCTTTCTGCTTGTGGGTAAACAGTATTTCTTGCTGGGTTGTTGTAGGTTTTTCCGGGCTATATGGCCATGTTCTGGAGGCAATTTTTCTCCTGACGTTTCGCCTGCATCTATGGCAAGCATCCTCAGAGGTAGTGAGGTCTCTTTGTCAGTGTTGATGTAGAGATTGTCTGGGTTGCCTACTCTGGAACATGCAACATATCATTGTCCTTCTTTAGGGGTCCCTTTCAAATCTTTCATACTGCATCTGTCATATACATATATGTGCGTGTGTGTGAATGGCTGGATGGCCCTTTGTCAGGAGGGCTTTGATTATGTTTTCTTGCTCTGGTGAAAGGAGTTGGACTGGATGGCCTTAAGGCAGCATTTCTCAACCTGGGAAGTCAAGACCCCCGGGGGGGGGGGGGTGTCACCAGGGGGGTGTCAGAATTTTCTGTTGGTCATGGGGGTTCTGTGTGGGAGGTTTGGCCCAATTCCATCGTTAGTGGGGTTTGGAATGCTCTTTGACTGTAGGTGAACTATACATCCTAGTAACTACAACTCCCAAATGTCAAGGTCTATTTCCCCCAAACTCCATCTGTATTCACATTTGGGCATATTGAGTATTCCTGTCAAGTTTGGTCCAGATCCATCATTGTTTGAGTCCACAGTGCTCTCTGGATGGAGGTGAACTACAATTCCAAAATTCAAGGTCAATGCCCACCAAACCCTTTCAGTATTTTCTGTTGGTCATGGGAGTTCTGTGTACCAAGTTTGGTTCAATTCCATTGTTGGTGGAGTTCGGAATGCTCTCTGATTGTAGGTGAACTATAAATCCAAGCAACTACAACTCCCAAATGCCAAAATCATAATTTTTTGAGTGATGGTCACTCCTTGTGTAGTGAGACATTTTGTTGCCAAATGTGGTGTGATTTCGTTCGTTGGTTCTTTTGTTTTTAAGGTACTCATTATGCACAGAGCATTTATATATATATATATATAAAACAATAATTAAGGAAAGAGAGAAGGAAGGAAAGACAAAAGGGAAGGAAGGAGGGAGAGAGAAATGGGAAGGTAAGGAATGGAGGGAGGGAAGGAGGAAGGATAGGATGGTGAGAGAGAGGAGAGCCTGAGAAAAGAGCCCAAGGGGCTGAATATGGCTCCTGGGCCTGGGTTTGCCCATACCTAATCTATACTATATGACTTAAGATCTAAATCCATCAAATTAATGGATACCTAAAACCTGGCAGCACCTACTTAGTCTGCCTCCCATAGCTAACAATTGCTACTATATATGTATTTTTAAAAAATTTTTAAAGGAAGTACAGAAGAAGCATACGTCCCTATGCTGTATGGGTCCCTGCACATGTCCCAAACTCATGCCATGTTCACGCAACATGCCTTTAAGCGATTCGGATAGATCTCAAATCCGGAACCGCCATTAGGGCAAGATCAATGAGCCGTTGCTGGAGCAACAGCATTCTTGACCCGGTTGGGATTTCATTAGCTTGAAGGACCAGGAAGATATATATATATATACACACACATACAAATACAAACTCACACACATACATAAAAAGACTTAATGCAATTGCAAATACACACTCACATATCTATACATAGACAGAGCAATTGCTGCCGAGGGAGTTAAAAGTCCTGCCCAGCTGTTGCTGTCAAAAGCCTTAAATACACACAGAGGGAGAGAAAGGAGGGGGAAAGAAAGAAAGAGAGGGAAGGAAGGAAGGAAGAAGAGAGGGAGATTTGCCTCTAGGCCAAAGAAATACATTACAGCACTGAAAGGGAAGCAATGGGGAGGTTGGGGAAAGAAAGGATAGGGAATAGAAGGTAAGGAAGGATGGGGTCTGGAGGGGCAACAAAGGAACCCCCCCCCCCACTCAGCTCTGCACCCCCTCATTCCAATTTGTTTTGGGGGGATGGAAAATGAAGGACAAGGTTTGAGGGGGGTTTGTGGCACATGGAAACTGCAGTAGAAGTTGGGAGGTGGGGTTGGAGGAGATGACAGCACTCAAAGAACCCTCCCCAAAATTGGGGGGGGGAGGGTGCATGGATAGAAGGGTGAGGTGGGCTGAGTTTGATTCGGGGGGGGGGGGCTGAGGATCTACCCTAGCAAACCTTCTGTATCATTATCCCAATACCCCCATGCATATGGGATATATTGAACATGGTGATCAGATCATGATATGAATAAACATAATAGTTTATAAATAATGTACCAGTAAGGCCTTCTCGCAAACCACCCTGAGAATTTCATGCCTGGGTGCAGGGCTCAATCTTTGGAGAAGGAGGGAGGGAGAGAAGGAAGGAAGGAAAAAAGGAAAGAAGGGAGGGAGGATATAAGGAAGGGAAGAAGGGAAGGAAAAAGAGAAGGGAAAGAGAGAAAGAAAGGAGAAGAAGAGGAAAGAAGGGAAGGAGGGAAGGAAATAGTATAGAAAGTAAGACGGAAAGATAGAAGGGAGGGAGGGAGGGAAAAGAGGGAAAAGAGGGAGGGAATGATGATAGAAGGAAGGAAAGAAGGAAGGTAAAATAGAAGGGAGAGAAGGAAATACTGTAGAACATAAGGAAGGAGGGAAAGAGGATAGAAGGAAGGAAAGAAGGAAGGATGGGGAAGGAAAAGAGAATAAAAGGGACAGAAGGAGGGGGAAATGACAGAAGGAAGGAAAGAAGGAAGGATAGATGGGAGGGAAGGGTAGGGGAAGGGAAAGATGATAAATGGAAGGGATGGCAGGAGGGAAAGATGAAATAAGGAAGGAATGAAGGAAGGAAAGATAGAAGAGAGGGAGGGTGAGAGGGAAGGAAAGGAGAGAAGGAAAGATGATAGAAGGAAAGAAGGAAGGAAGGAAAAAAGGAAGGATAGAAAGGAGGGAGGGAGGGAAAGGAGGGAGAGAAAGATGATAGAAGGAAGAAAAGGAAGGAAAAGGGAAAGGAGAAAAGAAAAGAGGTAGAAGGAAGGATAGAAGGGAGGAAGGAAGGAGGGGGCTGGAAAGATGAAGAAGGAAGGAAAGAAGGAAGGATAGAAGGGAGGGAAGGCTAGAGGTAGGAAAAGAGGATAAAAGGGAGTGAGGAAGAGTGGGAAAAATGATAGAATGAGGGAATGATATAAGGAAAGGAGAAAAGAAGGAGAAAAGGAAGGAAGAGAAAAAAAAAAAAAAAAAAAAAGGAAAGGAGAGAAAAAGAAGAGGAAGAAGGAAGGAGGAAGAGGGAGGGAAGGATAGAGGGAGGAAGAGAGGATAGAAGGAAGGGAAGGAGGAAAGAGGGAGGAAGGGGATAGAAGGAAGGAAAGAGGGGAGAGGAAGGAAGGAACTGAGAGTGGGAGATAAGATAGAAAAAAGGAAAGGAATGAAGGAAGGAATAGAAGGGGAGAAGGAGGAGGGATGGTTGGAAGAATGAAAAGGAAGGACAAGGAAAGAATGGGAAGAAGGGAGGGAAGGGCCTAAGGAAGGAAGGAGGGAAGATGGAAGGAAGGGAGGAATAGTGGAAGAGGTGGGGATGAGAGAGAGGGAGAAGAGAAGAAAACATGCCAAGGAAAGAAAGGTGTGGGGTAGGGGTGTGTGTGGAGAAATATGGGTGGGCAGAGCACAAATGGGACCCAAAAGGAAGAGAGCGGAGAAAAAAAAAGCTTTATGTCTCAAACATTATAAAAATGGGAAAGCTGGGCGGCCTGAGAGCCATCGGAAAGTGCTCAAGAGGAGGCAGATTTTTTTAAGGGATGGGGCTTTAAATTGGGAGGGATTCGAAAGGGAGAGGTGAAGCATGAAAGGGGAGGGGATATATGTGTGTGCATTTTAAGAGGGGGGAAGGGCTTAGGAAGGTGGAGATGGGATGTGGGAGCCTGATATTGATAAGCCAGGGATTTCAGTCATGGGCTACACATAATAATAATAATAATAATAATAATAATAATAATAATAATAATAATAATAATATAAAAGAATAATATTGTCATCATCATCACCTTTGTGCATGCCTATTTAACAGATATTGATAAGCGAGGGATCTCAGTCATGGGGTACAAATAAACATGATGATTATATTAAAATAATAAAATAATAATAGTAATAATAATCATAATCATAATAATAGCAATGCCTCACCTTTGTGCATGCCTGTGTAGCAGATATTGATAAGCAAGGGGTTTCAGTCATGGGGTACAAATAAACATAATGATAAATAATAATAATAATAATAATAATAATAATAATAGCAATGCCTCACCTTTGTGAATGCCTGTGTAATGGATACTGATTGGGGGGGGGGGGTCTCAGTCATGTGGTACAAATAAACATAATGATGATTATAATAAGAATAAATGAAAATAATAGCAAAATAATTACATAATAATAATAATAATACCAATGCCTCACCTTTGTGCATGCCCGTGTAACAGATATTGATAAGCTGGGGTACAAATAAACATAATGATGATGATGGTGATGATGATGATGATGATGATGATGATGATGATGATGATGATAGTAATAGCAATGCTATCACCTTTGTGCATGCCTGTGTAACAGATTTTGATAAGCGAGGGGTCTCAGTCACAGCGTACAAATAAACATAATGATAATAATAATGATGATGATGTCTCACCTTTGTGCATGCCTGTGTAGCGGTCTTTGAGGACCGTGAGCTCGTAGATCTGTCCGAACTGCTCGAAGAGGGGCTTGAGGTCCTTCTCCTCGAGGTTGCGGGGGATCTGGCCCACAAACAGCTTGATGGCGTCGAGATCCTTCATGCCCTCGGGTTCCCCACCGCCACCGCTGCTCATAGGGGAGGCGCGGGGAGGCGGCGGTGGCGGAGGATGCTGCTGCTGCTGCTGAGGCGGAGGATGCTGCTGGGCTGGCTGCCTGGGCAGCTTTGCCATCCCCCCCAAACAGCGCCCCCCTTCCTCCTCCTCCCCAAAGCACAGGCAGGAAGGATGGAGGGATGCTGAGGAGGAGGCGGAGGATGCTGCGAAAAGGGATGCAGGCAGAGAGGAGGCCGCTCAGCATCAGGACCACAAAGGGATGGAGCCTGCCTGCTCTGCAGCGGCGCCACCTGGCTGAGGATGGAGCTGCAAAGCCTGCCTAGGAGGAGGATGAATGAGAGAAGGAGTGTGAGAGTGTGTAACACGTGTACATACACACGCCACCCACCCCATTCTCCCTCCCCCCTGTCCCCTACATACTTCTATCAGGGGGTTAGGGAAGGATGGGAGCATGTTGAGAGTCAGAGTTGCTTCAGTGTGATGAGAGTCTCCTTCCCTGGAGGTTGAGAAGCAGAGGCTGGATGGCCCTCGGTTGGGAGGGCTTTGATTGTGTCTTCTTGGAAGTGGGTTGGACTAGATGGGCATCAGTTGGGAGAGCTTTGATTGTGTCTTCCTGCATAGCAGAAAGGAGGCTGGACTGGATGGGCATGTTAGGAGTGCTCTGATTGTGTCTTCCTGCCTGGTAGAAGGGGTTGGACTGTATGGGTATCTGTTGTGAGAGCTTTGACTATGTCTTCCTGCCTAGCAGAAGGGGGTCGGACTGGAGGGGCATCTGTTGTGAGAGCTTTGACTGTGTCTTCCTGCCTGGAAGAAGGGGTTGGACTGTATGGGCATTTCTTGGAAGAGCTTTGATTATGTCTTCTTACCTGAAAGAAGGCAGTTTGACTGTATGGGCATCTGCTGGGAGAGCTTTGGGTCTTCTTGCCTGGAGGAAGGGAATTGGACTTTATGGGCATCTGTTGGGAGAGCTTTGATCATGTCTTCTTGCCTGGAAGAAGGGAGTTGGATTGGGTGGCCATCTTTTAGAAGAGCTTTGATTGTGTCATCTTGCCTGGAAGTGGGTTGGATTGGATGGGCATCTGTTGGAGGATCTTTGATTGTGTCCTCCTGCCTAGCAGAAGGGGGTTGGACGGGGTGGACATATAATAATAATAATAATCTTTTTTTGTACCCTGCCACCATCTCCCCAAAGGAGACTCGGGGCGGCTAACATGAGGCCAAGCCCAAAATTACAGTACAGCAAAATAAAATAAAATAAAATAAAAGTTTTTAGGTCTTTCTTAAAAGCTGCCAGGGTAGGGGCTTGCCTGATCTCACTAGGTAGCAATTTCCAAAGCCGAGGGGCCACAGCAGAGAAGGCTCTCTCCCTGTTCCCCACAAGTTGTACTTGGGATAAAGGTGGGGGTGAAAGGAGGGCCTCCCCAGAGGATTGAAGAGATTGTGCAGGTTTATGGAAGGAGATGCGGTCACGAAGGTAGGTGGGTCCCAAACCGTACAGGGCTTTGTAGGTGATTACCTGCACCTTGAATTGGGACCAGAAGATGAACGTCAACCAATTGAGCTCCTTAAATAGGGGGGTAGACCGCTCCCTGTAATTCGCTCCAGTTAGCAGAAATATGTTAGAAATGCTTTGATTGTGACTTCCTTAATGGTGGAAGGGGGATAGAATGGATGGCCTTTGGGGTCTCCAGGTTGCTGGGGATGATGTGAGTGGGAATTGGGGGGGGGGGAGGGTTGTGCCAATATTTATTATTTGTTTATTTACGACATTTATATGCTGCCCTTCTCACCCCAGAGCGGCTTACAAGATACACACACACACACACACACTAGCTGTCCCCTACCATGCGTTGCTGTGGCCCAATCTGTTGATCTGGAAAATAAAGTAATGAGAATGTGTTGGTTTCTAATATAGGTAATTTCTTTATGCTTGTGAGTAAACAGCATTTCTTGTTGTTTCTTTCTCAGTGTTGATGTAGATGTTGTCTGGTTTGCCTAGTCTGGACCATGCAACATACCATTGTCCTTCTTTAAGGAACCCTTTCAAATCTATGATACTATATGTGTGTGAATCGTATCTATCTATCTATCTCTCTCTATGGCTGGATGGCTCTTTGTCAGGAGGGCTTTGATTCTGTTTTCTTCCCTGATGAAGGCAGTAGGATTGGATAGCCTTAAGTATTTTCTGTTGGTCATGGGGGTTCAGTGTGGGGAGTTTGCTCCGATTCTGTCATTTGTGGGATTCACCATGCTCTTTGATTGTAGATGAACTGTGAATCCCAGTGACTTCAACTCCCAAATGTCAAGGTCTATTTCCCCCAAACTCCATCTATGTTCATATTTGGGCATACAGAATATTTATGCCAAGTTTGGTCCAGATCCATCATTGTTTGAGTCCACAGTGCTGTCTGGATGTAGGTGAACTACAACTCCAAAACCAAAGGACACTGCCCACCAAACCCTTCCAGTATTTTCTGTTGGGAGTCCTGTATGCCGCATTTGGTTCAATTCCATCATTGGTGGAGTTCAGCATGCTCTTTGATTGTAGGTGAACTATAAATCCCAGCAACTACAACTCCCAAATGACAAAATAATAATTTTTTGAGTGATGGTCACTCCTTGTGCTGTGAGATGTTTTGTTCCCAAATTTATTGTGATTTCGTTCATTGGTTCTTTTGTTTTTAAGGCACTCATTATGCACAGAGCATTTATATATATATATAGATAGATATAAATAAAATTACAAGATATATATATACACACACACACACACACACTAGCTGTCCCCTGCCATGTGCTGCTGTGGCCCACATGGGACTTCTGTGTGGGAGGTTTGGCCCAGTTCTATCGTTAGTGGGGTTCAGAATGCTTTGTGATTGTAGGTGAACTATAAATCCCAGCAACTACAACTCCCAAATGTCAACATTTTATTTCTCCCAAACTCCATCAGTGTTCACATTTGGGCATATTGAATATTCGTGTAGAGTTTGGTCCAGATCCATCATTGTTTGAGTCCACAGTGATCTCTGGATGTAGGTGAACTACAACTCCAAACCTCAAGGTCAATGCCCAACAAACCCTTCCAGTATTTCCTGTTGGTCATGGGAGTCTTGTGTGCCAAGTTTGGTTCAATTCCATCGTTGGTGGGGTTCAGAATGCTCTTTGATTGTGGGTGAACTATAAATCCCAGCAACTACAACTCCCAAATGACAAAATCATTTTTTTTGAGTGAAGGACATACATTGGGTTGTTAGGTGTCTTGTGTCCAAATTTGGTGTCAATTCGTCCAGTGGTTGTTGAGTTGTTAATCCCACAAACGAACATTAAATTTTTATTTATACACACACACATATACATACATACAGTATATTATATTATTAGTATAATACAGTATCAGTATTATATATTACTATATTGTTCTATACCATTATATTGTAATATTATTATTAACTAGCTGTCCCCTGCCACGTGTTGCTGTGGCCCAGTCTGTTGATCTGGAAAATAAAGTAATGAGAAAGTGTTGGTTTCTAATATATGTAATTTCTTTATGCTTGTGGGTAAACAGTATTTCTTGTCAGTGTTGATGTGGAGAGTGTCTGGTTTGCCCACCCTGGAACATGCAACATATAATTGTCCCTCTGTAGGGGTCCCTTTCAAATCTATGACACCATATCTGTGTGTGTGTGAATCATATCCATCTGTATCTATATCAATGTCTGGATATCTCTTTGTCAGGAGTACTTTGATTACGTTTTTTTGCCCTGATGAAGGGAGTTGGATTAGATGGCCTTTATTTATTTATTTATTTATTTGCATTATTTCTACCCCGCTCATATCAGCCCGAAGGCGACTCAGAGCGGCGTACACAATGGGCACAAGTATTTTCTGTTAGTCACGGGGGTTCTGTGTGGGAAGTTTGCCCCGATTCTGTTGTTCGTGGGGTTCAGAATGCTCTTTGATTGTGGGTGAACTGTGAATCCCAGTGATTACAACTCCCAAATGTCAAGGTCTATTTTCCCCAAACTCCCATCTGTGTTCATATTCAGGCGTATTGAGTGCTTGTGCCAAGTTTGGTCCAGATCCATCATTGTTTGAGTCCATGGTAGTCTCTGGATGTTTTAGGTGAATTGCAACTCCCAAACTCAAGGTCAATGCCCACCAAACCCTTCCAGAGTACATTCTGTAGTTCAGGTACATTCTGTTGGTCATGGGAGTCCTGTGTGCCAAGTTTGGTTCAATTCCATCATTGGTGGAGTTCAGAATGCTCTTTGATTGTAGGCAAACTATAAATCCCAGCAACTACAACTCCCAAATGACAAAATCATAATTTTTTGAGTGATGATCGCTCCTTGTGTTGTGAGACGTTTTGTTGCCAAATTTGGTGTGATTTCGTTCCTTGGTTCTTTTGTTTTTAAGGAACTCATTATGCACAGAGCATTTTTACATATAGATAGATAGATAGTACATGTAATATAAAATATATATCATATTATTCTTATATTATATTAGGTGCAGTTTGGAATTGTATTTTAATACAACACAACATTTCTATTTTATGATAACGCTTCAGCACATTTGCACAAAGTATTGGATTCAGTATGCAAGAAAGCAGATCCCACCTCGACCATTTGCAGCAGAATATACTGCTTTGAAGCTCCTTCTCTGGAGGCTTTTGAGCTGGAGGGCCATTTGTCGGTGGCCACCTTCCATCTTGTCCATTTCCTCCATGGATTGTACAGACACATTATTCTAAAGCAGAATACAGCGCGACAAGAATTTTCCTCGATCCAGACACTAGATTTCTATTGACACAGATTGGGATAAAAACCTCCCCAAACTACAACTCCCAGGATTCCCTAGCCTTGAACAACACTTAAAGTGGGGTCAAACTGCATTTGCGATGGACTGAGTGCACTTTAAAAGGAGCAAAACCCTAGAGTGGGTGGATTTGCTGCCCTAACTGCCATTGGGATAAAAAACAACCTTTTTACTAGGCTGCTTTTAAATCCTGCCCATTAGCAAATTTGATGCCGAAAGGACTGGTATTTAAGAGTAGCCCTTTTTGGGGGGAATCGCATGCAATTTGCTAATGTGAAGCGGGATTTACACAGGCCTCCTTCTGCACTTTTTTATAGACCTCCTGAATACTGATTTTGCTCCCATTTAGAGCCTATGAAATCCCCCTTCCCGTCCCTCAAGTTGGCTTTCGTTAAATAGATACCATTTATTTGTATTGTCTGCAGATATCGTATACTCTTTTCCATCAGAGGGGT